AGGACAAAAAAAAAAAAAAAAAGAAAGAAAGAAAGAAAGAAAAAAATAAATAAAGTCTATTAATTGTTTTTAAGTTAAGGGTAAAGTTGCATGGGAAAAACTCTTGGCTCAGGAAGGACTCAGAGCCATGAGGATGAGGACAGTGGCACTCAGGAGTCCTGTGGTGATCAAGGTCCCAGTGGCTGTTTGAGTGCATAGGGAACAGGGACCAGTGAAGGACTGAGGCCCCTTGCAGGCATGCGCCTCCCCACCCGCCTGCCACTTTTTTTTCCCCTCTTTATCTCTCCCTTTCTTTCTTTCTTTTTTTATTATGTTCTCTTCGAGTATTACCAGCAACAGCCTGGGGTCCGGGGCGTAGGAGAGAGATGCCCCGAGATGCCCTATATATTGCAGGACAAGACCCACGGACTGCCTGCCAGGCCAGCATTTATGCCGGGATGGGCTTGGGATGGGCTTGGGATGGGAGTGGGGTGGAGATGTCCGGTTCTGGGGGCCGGCCCTGGAAGGGGGACTGGGAATGGGGGAAGTGGATGCTGCCGGTTCGCATAGTTCCAGCTCCGCCCCTCAGCGCCGTCCAAGAGGGCTCCTTGGCAGAGGCCCAGAGAGAGCGCCGGTCAGGCTAGACGTGAGTTCGAGTTCTAGCTATGCCATCTATCATATGACTGGAGGAAGGCGACCCACCCTCTGCGCCTCACTAACCCTCGTATCACGCGGAAAGTAAGTGTCTTTCTGGGGAGGAGAGTGGGTGTGCATGAAGATACACAGGACGCAGGGAAGGGAGTCCTCGCTCAGCACCCGGCACACGGTGACAGAGCGCTCGGGCTAGCGTGTGCGCTCAGTCTCCGGTCCCTGTCCCCCGCGGCTGCGGGATCCCCCGGCTCCGGCCTGGGCCCATCCGCCCTCCCTGGCACTTACAGCGGTCTCCCCGCTCCTCCCTTCTAGGACCGCCGATGCTCCACCACCTCTGGTTCGCATAGTTCCAGCTCCGCCCCTCAGCGCCGTCCAAGAGGGCTCCTTGACAGAGGCCCAGAGAGAGCGCCGGTTAGGCTAGACTTGAGTTCGAGTTCTAGCTATGCCATCTATCATATGACTGGAGGAAGGCGACCCACCCTCTGCGCCTCACTAACCCTCGTAACACGCGGAAAGTAAGTGTCTTTCTGGGGAGGAGAGTGGGTGTGCATGAAGATACACAGGACGCAGGGAAGGGAGTCCTCGCTCAGCACCCGGCACACGGTGACAGAGCGCTCGGGCTAGCGTGTGCGCTCAGTCTCCGGTCCCTGTCCCCCGCGGCTGCGGGATCCCCCGGCTCCGGCCTGGGCCCATCCGCCCTCCCTGGCACTTACAGCGGTCTCCCCGCTCCTCCCTTCTAGGACCGCCGATGCTCCACCACCTCTTCCGGACGCCTGCACGCGCTGCCCCGGCAACCATCACCAGGGAAACAGGAACGTCGACCGCGTGACGTCAGCACGTCTCTACGGGGGCCGAGGGAAAGCCGGGAGTTTGAAAGTGGCAGGTGCTGATGGCCCAGGTTGAGGCGGCGTGGAAATAGGTGCAGTGGGCTGGGTGGAAGAGGGCGTGCGTCGTGTGTTTGAGATTTTAAATCTCCTGAGTATATTTTTGTAAAGTTTATGGCAGAAACGTTCTGCGCAGAGATGCACATTCCGCTGTCCAGCAGGGGAGTTAAAAAGTGAACGCTGTCACCGTGATATTTAACCTAGCCATTCCGATTCTTTGAAAAGTGTAAAACTGTGGGTAAGGGTTGTGTTATGATGAAGAGTGAAAAAAGCAGGACGCAAAACAGTAATGCTAAGAGTAAAGTCGTGTTTTTTTCAAAGTCGGCACAAAAACAAGAGCGAAATAGAAATATTAAAAGTGGAGAGACCTGGAAACCTACATGTGACAGCAAATAAACAGGATAAAGAGTAGGATTCAGGTAGATAGGAGCCTCAAAGGGGTAGGGTCTTTTATATGGTGTGGGAGGAAAGTATTCATTCGCCTTATGACCACAAGGGGACTATGGGGCACGGGATAATGGACAGCTAAGTCTATTTAGAGGGCTTCTGGGAGAGCACTGTTCCCAGCAGAAAGCCAGGTTTCCGTTAAGATAAGAAGAACATGCTGTGACAAAGTTAAGGGTACAGAATTTCAGAACAGGCATTCTAGAATGCATACTGGAAAGTTTGGGAAGGATTTTGCCCCAGCAATCCAAGGATTGTTTTTGACAAGGATATCATTCTTGACAGTAATCTATTCCTACAAAACTAGGGATGGTTTTCCTCTAGGTTTGTTACCTTTCCACTGCTACCACTAAGGCTCTCCTGCCGTTTTTTTCTTCCCATTTATAAAGTCTTTTGACAATTTTCTGTAGTTTATAAACGACGTTTTATCATCCAGGAAGCCGGAGAATCTGGAAGGGTCATCATGTATTTCCCCTTATAGATTATACAGATGTCTGTTAGTCCCAGCGCCCTTTTTTCTCTAACCAAAAGTACCTGCAGGACACTGCTCTTTTTTTAATTTGCTTTTTAACTTGAAAATTTTGAGATATAGATTCACATGCAGTTGGAGGAAACAATACACACTTTGCCAGTTTACCCCAGTGGTAACATTTTGCAGATCTATAGTACAGTATCACAAGCAGGATGTTGTTGTTGATACAATTCACCAATCTTATTTAGATTTCCCCAATTTTACTGTATTCATTTTTGTGAGTTCAGTTCTATACAGTATATCATGTGTAGGTTCATGTATCCATCACCACTCAAGATACTGAACATTTAATATTGCAAGGATCCCTCTATTGCACTTTTATAACCATGTTCGACTCCCTCCTGTCCTCCACCCCAGTCCCTAACCCCTGATATCCACTAATCTTTCCTCCATGTCTAAAATTTTGTCATTTCAAAAATGTTATATAAATGGAATAATATAGCATGTAACCTTTTAGTATCGATTTTTTTTTTTTTTTTTACTCAGAGTAATTCTGTGGAGATTCATCTAAGTTGTGTATAAATAATCCATTCCTTTTCATTGCTGAGTAGTATTCTATGGTATAGGTGTACCACAATTTGTTTAGCCATTCACTCATTGAATAACATCTGGGCTGTTTCCAGTTTGGGGCAATTATGATTAATCTGCTATAAACATTCATTTACGGGTTTTTGTGTGAACATTTTTCATTTCTGTGGAATAAATGCCCACTAGTGCAGTTACTGGGTCAAATGGTAGTTGCATATTTAGTTTTTTTAAAAATTGCTGAACTGTTTTCTTGAGTAAAACATTTTACATACCTACCAGAAATGTATGAGTGGTCCAAAATCTTCACGTCTTTGCCAGCATTTAGTTATGACACTTTTTATTTTTGCCATTTTAATAGATGTGTAATGATATCTCAGTGTGGTTCTAACATACATAATGAATAATGATGTTGAACCTTTTTTTCATGTGCTTATTTGCCATCTGTATGTTTTCTTTGGGGAAGTGTCAGTTCATGTCTTTTGCCCAATTTCTGTTGAGTTTTGAGAATTGTTTATATATTCTACATACTAGTCCTTTGTTGGATATGTGGTTTACACATATTTTCTACCAACCTGTGGTTTGTCTTTTAATCTTCTTCACATGGGCTTTTACAGAACAAAAGGTTTTGATTTTGATGAAGTCCAATTTATCTATTTTTTTATTTTATGGATTGTGCTTTTGATGTCAAGTTTAAGAACTCTTTGCCTAGCCCTGGATCCCAGAGATTTTGCCCTATGTTTTTTGAAATGTGTTAGAGTTTTACGTCCATGATTCATTTTGATGTAATTTTTGTATACGGTATGAGGTTTAGGTCAAGGTTCTTTTTTTTCTATTTTGCTTATGATGTCTGATTGCTCCAGCACTATTTGTTGGAAGGCTATCCTTCTTCCATTGAACTGCTTTTTGAACCTTTGTCCATGATTCATTTTGATGTAATGTTTGTATACGGTATGAGGTTTAGGTCAAGGTTCTTTTTTTTCTATTTTGCTTATGATGTCTAATTGCTCCAGCACTATTTGTTGGAAGGCTATCCTTCTTCCATTGAACTGCTTTTTGAACCTTTGTCAAAAATCAGTTGAGCAAACTCAACAACAACAGAAACAAACAACCCAATTCAAAAATTGGCAAAGGAGTTCAATAGACATTTCTCCAAAGAAGGTATACAAATGGCCAATAGCACATGAAAAGATGGTCAACATTACCAGCCATTAGGGAAATGCAAATCAAAACCACAATGAGATACTACTTCACACCCATTAGGACAGCTCTTATCCAAAAAATGGGAAATAAGAAGTATTGGCCAGGATGTGGAGAATTTGGAAACCTTGTGCACTGCTGGTGGGAAGGTAAATTGGTGTAGTCACTGTGGAAGACAATTTGGTGGTTCCTCGAAAAGTTAAACACAGAATTACCATATGATCTAGCAATTCCTCTTCTAGGTATATGCCCAAAAGAACTGAAAGCAAGGACTCAGATATTTGTACACCAATGTTCATAGCAGCATTATTCATAACAGCTAAAAGGTGGCAACATCTCAAGTGTCTATCAGCAGATAAATGGATAAACAAAATGTGGTATGTACATAAAATAGAATATTATTTAGCCTTAAGAAGGAAGGAAATTCTGGTACATGTTACAACATGATGACCCTTGAAAACATTATGCTAAGTGAAATAACCTACAAATTTGTCACAAAAGGGCAAATATTGTATGATTCTGCCTATATTAGGTACCTAGAATGGACTTCATACAGATAGAAAGTAGAATTGAGGTTGCTATGGGCTGGGGGAAGGGGAAAATAGAGTTATTGTTAAAGAGTATGGAGTTTCTGTTTGGATGATGAATAGGTTTTGGAAGTGGATGGTGGTGATAGTCACACAGCATCATGAGTATATTTAGTTCCACTTAATTGCACACTTAAAAGTTGTTAAAGTGGTAAATGTTATGTATGTTTACCACAATCAAACATTTTTTTAAATCAGTTAAGCATATTTGTGTTGATCTAACTGCTCTTTTTTTCTCATCTTTAAATTATATTCTTTCCAAAGTTCCATGTGGCTCCAACCTTAAAGTGGGACTTTTATCCGTGAGACTTTTATCCATGTTTATTCATACTTTTTTTTTTTGATTATGCAACTTTATTGAGGAAAAATAAATCAATTACTAGCAGAGCTATTAGTTGGTCACTCATCCATTCACAACTTGCATCATTTATTCAGTGCTATATTAAACAGTGTATTGGAGTAATAGATTAACTAATAGCTCCAAGCCTCCTAACAATTTAAATGAAAATTACAGGATGTTTGAGACTCTGCCTTGGAGAACAAAGGGTGTTTGACTTCCAATTTCCGTTCTCTGTAGAAGAAGAACAGGTCACTCCTTTATTGATATGCATAAAATACACCACATTTTCTGTTCTGCTGATGTTATAAATTCAATACCAGTTCTCCAGCCACATCAGTTATGAGCATAAGTATGTATATCATGTAACTGCAAATCTCAGTGGAAGGATTAAACAAGAATGGATGCTACTAGAATAATGCTGCTTCCTTTGAACTGAGCATCCGTCTCCCTCCCCATCAGATGATTTCTTAGGCATGTTAGAACAGTGGGCAATGGTTTTAGGTCTCATAACCAAGTTAGAGTGAAGCCATTGGCCACATAATATACATGTTCCATTTTTTAAAAAAATTCTGAATCTTGGGCAACTGTTCTCTTGAAACTATTTTACAGTTTCTAAAAGCAGTATTGTCTAAAGCTGAAAGAACTTAAGTCTTTTCAGATGAGCATGTGAATGAATGGAGGTAAACAAAAAATAAAATTAAAAAAGATGAGGTCTGATAGGGGAGCAGCCAGATAAGAAAGTCAAAAAACAGTAATTTAAAGTTTATTTCAGCTATAATTCAGTTTATTCTGACTTTAAGGCAGCATCACACGGCA